TAATCAGGTTTCCAACTTTTTGGGGCGTACTATAGTTATATGACTGTCAGAGCAGAACATTCCTGGTAGTAAATCCCTAAACCCAGAGACTCCAATATCCCTTAATTCAGGAATATACCTCAAATCTTATGAGGGGTTTTGGAGTCTCTGGGAACTAATGGCTACTGTCCGCGCTTAGGGGCCCAGCACTTGAGGAGGATCTGGGATTCAGCGAACGCGATTAGGAAAAGGATTTGGGTTTCAGGGTTTAGGGTTTAGGGTTTAGGGTATTTAGGGCTTAGGGTTTAGGGTTTTAGGGCTTTGGGTTTAGGGTTGGGCTTGTGTTGAGGGTTCGCGGTTGACGGTTTACGGCTTGGTCATGAACCCTGAACCCGAGGTGTGCGACATCGCTCTAGGCATCTACCCGACCCTACGACCCTACACCACATCCCAAATACTGGCTAATTCATGAACAGCTAAACCATCCTAAACCCTAAACCCTACACCCCTTATCCTGAACCTTCAGCCTGTAACAGCCCGATACAGCTCAACAGCAGAAGGTGGGGAGATAAAATTCGAGTTGGCATCGAGAAGAACTTTGCATTCATCCAGGGCCTAAATACATGGAATTGGTTTCGGGTCATATATCATAGGATTGGTTTCGGGGCATCTGATGGTATAATGAGGTTGGGGAATACAGGGGGCACGATTACGAATTGTTCTGACTCCTATACCCCTGGAAGTCGGTGCTATCACCTTTAAGGAATGGTGCCCGAAAAACGGAATTGAAGCAAATCAGATATTCACTTCCTTCAATTGGTTATCAGAGTGCTCGCGAAACCTGAGCACTCTCTCGGGGAGTGGGGGTGGCTGCTCCTTTAGCAAGAAGCTTCACTCTGGAACAACCTTCGTGTCCAAGGTTCCTGAGTGACCCATGAATAACAAGGGTACCCTTTTTCCTGCTATTCAATTTTTAATAAGGGAACCATGCCATAAAAAAGGGGCAAAAGGGTACTACCCATGTGTCCATGCCCATTCCGATTGAAACTAGAAGATGAGAACTGGAAGCGAGGGGGTAAATGCCATCCCAAGAGCAAGGCCAGTCGTTGCAAGAAGCATCCAGACTTTGGCTGTTTGGTTTAGGGTTTAGGGTTTAGGGTTTAAGGTTTAAGGTTTAGGGTTTAGGGTTTAGTAGAAAGTCGCCCCTTGCTGTAATTACGTTCACCACATACCAGATATTCGCTCGGGCGGGCTTGTGCACATCTGTTTACTTGTCTGCTTTCTCACTTAGTATGCGCATATATATATATATATGTGTCAATATGTGCACATACGCGTATATTTGTTCTATTGATTGTTAGATGTTCTGCTGATTGCAGGGTTTGACTATTTATAGGTAGGTGGATATAAAAAATAGAAGATACATGGGTAAGTGGATAGATAGACAGATAGACAGACACATAAGGAGTTAGATGGACAGATAGATAGACACAGAGATATAGAGCCACGCTGGTAAAGGGCAGTATGTAGATGCACATGTTCAAAAACACTGACATGAGCGTCCTTCCCTGCATCCATCTGTCTCTCTCGCTATCTTCCCCTCCCGCTCTCTCTCTCTCTCTCTCTCTCCCTCTCTCTCTTTATTGTCTGTCAGTCTGTGTCGGTCTCCGCCTGTCTTTGTCTGTCCCTGTAGTGGATGGTTCGGTAAGTAAGCCTTCGTGGTTTTGGGATTTTCTAATTCTGTACGTATGCTTTGTATATATGCATATATCCACAGTCTGAATACATATATATATATATAGAGAGAGAGAGAGAGAGACTTAGACTTACTCATTTATTAAGTTATTCCTTTATCCGTGTACACACACAGTATACACACATACATGCATACAGACAGACAGACAGACAGACAGACAGACAGACAGACAGACAGACAGGCAGACAGGCAGACGGGCAAACAGACAGACAGACATGCATGCCTGCATACAGAAATACAGACAGACAAGCATTCAGACTTACAGGCAAACACACCTACAAACATGTATGCATGCATACATACATCCATACTTCCATGCATATATACGGTACTAATTCTCTAGCATACTGTCATGCGCATGTGTGTTTCTGAAACCTCTGTCTGAATAAGTAGCCATTGAAAAGCGGAGCTCGGGCTGCCGAAACCCTTATATATTTACATAGGGGGACGTAGGGTTTGGGGTTTAGGGTCTAGGGTTTAGGGTTTAGGGTTTAGGGGAAGTAGGGTTTGGGGTTTAGGGCAGGGTTCCGTAAAAGGGTTCTTTGAAGGCTTCATGTCAGGGCTCTACAGTAGCTCAATGCAGCACGAGGCCTTTATAAGTAGAATAGGGTTGTGGGTTATATTCGACCATAACTCTAACGGTACCTCTAAGGGACTGCTGGTAGTATATTTATCACATTTTTCAGGCTAAACTCATGTGCAACACCCTGACCTCGCATGGAAATGAGTCGCATCTTGGACTGCTGCTTGCAGAGCTTGCGACTGAACAGCATGAGTAGCCATTGCTCAGAAGCACGGTGGTGTGACTGGAAGATATTCCTACTGGAATCGACACCTCGGTCAGCCGACAGTAAGCCTGCCGTTGCTGCCCGTCTTACTCCCCTCTCCCATCACTGGCGATCCTGCGAAGGCGGGACTCGGAGCATCCTGGGGCGAGGAGCCGTACTGCCAGGTCCTCCGGATATGCTTAAACTGTGACTTCTCAAAGACATTCTGCACGTTCACGGTGTCTTCGGTAAAGGACTCCCTTCGGATCTTCTGCCTTGGCGAAGGGGCGAAGGAGAAAGGTGCAAAAGAGCGGAAAACAAGGAGCGCGCTGCAAGTATGGAATTAGGAGGGTTCTTGGAGGATCATGGGACATAGTAAATCAGGTTATAAGTCCTTGAATTAGGGTTATAAGTATAGCACCTTAGTTATAACCCTACTTACTAAGTCCCATGATCCTTTAGTCTGCTTAGAAACTATCGAGACGAGCTTCGGGACCTCTAGCTACTGAGCTACTGTGCCACAAAGGCCAATTCAACCGGGCTTGCTAAGTTCACGGTTTAGGGTTTAGGGTTTCGGGTTTCTAAGCCCAAGTGCATGTCTCTATGACACGGCCTTGGTGGTTCTGAGGGTTTAGGGTTTAGGGTTCCATGTTGTGCTACGAGATGTAACTGGGGTTTGTTGCTGCTGTAAATGGCATACTGTGGCAGGAGTGTTTCTTCCTGGGCTTTGAGGATACGGTATTGCCATGCATCCACAGTCTTACTTTCTGTGGGAATGGACATGGCTCACCATTCAGGATATTCAGGATCCGATGGCCAGCCAGCCCTGCATCATAGGAAGGTAATAGAAGGGGCCTTTGTTGAAGGGAATATTGTTTCTGCTTCTGACGACCCTAAACCCCAAACCCTAAACCCAAGGCGGTTGCGTCGAAAGGATCGTCTTGAAGCAGACAGGAGCTCTACTTAGAGCCTACCCTCAGGAAAACCTACTCACCGCACCATAAGAAACCCTAGGTCTTTATGGTCTTTATGGGGTTCTTTATGTGCATCTGCAGAATCCTAGTATTTGGGGGTTACAGGGCCAGGGTTCCTTATTCGGGTTCCTACGCTCCCCATGATCTGTACAGAACGGAGATGAAGGCCATCGCAACCATAAACCCTGGGTTTAGGGTTTAGGGTTTAGGGTTTAGGGTTCTTGCCTAAACCATAAACCCTAAACCCTAAACCATATGCCCTAAACCCTAAACCCTAAAGCTAAACCGAACACTAAACCCGACACCCTGGCTCGTGGACGATTTCCTGAACTCTTGAAAAGGAAAGGTTGGCGTGGTGGATCGCAATCAGGGTTGGGGATGTTTATCCCCAATGTCTGCATAATGTAGGGGCCTTTATAATTAGAGTAGGGTTTTGGGGGTTCCTTAATATCATTATAGTATAATATACCCCCAAACCCTATTCTAAATACTCAGGCCCCTACAGTAAGCACTAAAAGCACTAGAAAAGGAAGCGAGTAACTAAGGTAACCATACGTAGCCTATACTTACTTACTCTTAGAGCCTACTAAGGTACTTATGAAATGCACTTACTAAGTCCCAAGATCATCCTGTATGGTACTTTTAAGGAATCCTTAACGGAACCCCTTTGAAGGAACCCTATATAGAAACCAGATAGGTTAAAGGAGCCCTAAACCCTAACCCCAAATCTAGAAACTCAAACCCCTCCGACCCTGATAGGAACCCGGAAAGGGACGCTGTTGAAATGGATCCTCGAAGGAACTAAACCCTAAACCCCGAAACCATGAACGCCGAAGAACAGCATCTCGTCGAACAGCACTTCCACCTTGGTCTCCAGTCTCCAGACCTGGCATCGGGCCGTAGATCAGGGTCTAGGGCTTAGGTTCCTTCAAGGGATCTGTAAGGGTTCTGAAGCGTCCTATAATTCTTAATTTTCTAAGGGCTTGGGGTTTAGGGCTTAGGGTTCCTTTAAGGGATCTGTAAGGGTTCTGAAGCGTCCTATAAGTTTTAATTTTCTAAGGGCTTGGGGTTTAGGGTTTAGGGTTCCTTTAAGGCATCTGTAAGGGTTCTGAAGCGTCCTATAATTTCTAATGTTCTAAGGGCTTGGGGGTTTAGGGTTTAGGGTTCCCTTAAGGCATCTGTAAGGGTTCTAAACCGTCCTACAATTTACAAGGCCTTGGGGTTTAGGGTTTGGGGCTTTGGGGCCTGGGGTTTTGCTTAGAGGGTTCGAGGATGAACCCGAAGGATTGCTGCGTTGGGAGTTAGGATTCGGGGGAACCTTCGGGATATGGACCCTCTCAATAAGGTCCCCTTTAAGAGAGCCATAAGTAGAGATAAGATGGGTCTCTTTAAGGGGTCTCCCTAATACTACCTAGGATTAGTTGCGCTTAGTGCACTCTTCTCTCTAACAAAGCCTTGCGTAAGGTTTAGGGCAAGCAGGTACCCAGAGACTCCAGAACCCCTTAATTAAGGAATATACCTTAAATTATAACAGGAGCCCTACAAAGATTTAAGGAATATACCTTAAATCATAACGTGAGATGTAAGGTATATACCTTGAATTATACTGGGAACCCTAAAAAGATTTAAGGTATATGCCTTACATTAAGGAATATTGGAGTCCAAAAATACCCTTCAAGGAACCCTTGTAAAACCCTTCAAGGAATTCTTAAAGGAACCCTTAAAG